TTTGCCATTTCTTAAAAATATAATCATCAAAATATAGAGTCAAGTCTTTTATTTTCTTTTCTCTATTAGTGTCAGAGCAAAATAAATGTATTGGCTAAAACAATAAGAGGCATAACTCTAGAGATGCTCTTCCCACTGAAATTCCCTTACATATCATAAAAGATGTGCAATGATATCGAAGTATAAAGCTTTGTATATGAAATGAGTCCCCTGTCATGCAGATATTTTTGAAGAGTGGAAGTCCAAAATAATTTTAAAACACAATTCAAGTTATAAATTGCAAAATATGTTTACAAGGAATCTAGTGATAAGTAAGAGGTCAAACAACCTGAAAGAATCAGCTTGTGGTACAAGCTTCATTGCATTAATAATGTCACAGTTAGTATGTTTATTAAATTAAATACTACCAGCAAGGGTCTTCTAAATGCCATGTTCCTCATACCAGATTACATATTTATTTCAGAGTTAACATAGTAAGAAGGGGAGCTATCACTAGAAGGTCTATTAAGCCACGGGAGTTTTTTTTTTCCATTGCTTTAATGGAACTATTCAAATCAAAATTTTCACGCCATGCCTTGAACACCGCTGCAAAACACACTGTGGGTGTAAAATACACGCAAGGCAGATATAATCAGCTCAGATGAGACCAATGACTTGTACACCGTCAAGTTTACTTTATTGGGAAAGCAATGGGGTTTTCTTTCAAATGAATGTATTTTTAAGTGTGTGGCAAGCTAACACACAAGCCAGAGATGGGGACAGGAAGACATACACTTCTCAAAGCTGAAATAATCTAAATATAACGCAATGCCTAAAATCTTGCCTAGCTTGTCCAGCTGTTCCAAGAGACTCTTATCTTGTTCTGGCAAAAGTAAAGCTGACCATAACTTCAACAATTCACATAGACGCAACCAGCCTAAAGTCTCAGCTAACATACCAGAGTAAACTAACCACTTCTAAAATTGATAGGCCTTGAAGTTGCTGAGTACTTCGGACTCCAGTTTGTCTATTGGTCTTCCAAGGGAATCTAAGTAAGTTTTTTTTGGTTTTTTTGTTTGTTTGTTTGTTTGTTTTTTAATCAAGAATCACAGGTCCTACTCTTTCTTCCGTATCCCATGGCCAAAATGTCTACGTGATAACGTATAGCCACACACACAGAGGTGCTGCCCTTGAGGAGACAGAACGTCTCCTAAAATGGTTTATGAACACACACACCTGTCCCAACAATAGCGTTTTAAATTCTCTGGCAGCATGAAAGACCTCAAATTCAGCCAAGCTCCTGTTCCTCACCTGCACCCTGAACAGAAAGTAGGACACCCTTTAGAGACTCGGGGCTGAAACAAACAAACATCGCCGCCGCCACCGCCGAAACTGGCTCAGGAGACGCGGGGCTTCGGGGCGCCCCCGCCGGCCCTAACCGCTACGTTCTCGAAGCAGCGGTGCTGTGACTCGGTTGTAAGAAGCAATGGCTTTGAGGCAAGCTGGTCGGTAACGCGGGCGCCAGGCCCGGCCGC